CAGCAGGAAAAGACAACTCCATCAGAGTATTCCCAGGAGTGAAAATTGCATCACAGTTGACAGTGCTACTCTTTCCTAGGGCAGAACGGACTGTACCCAAAAACCAAAATAGATACTGATTTTTTCCACCACCAAGTAATTCCTCCCTTGGGAAACTCACCACTTATTAAAAAAACCCCACCATGATCATTAACCCACTGTTTCTACTGCAGGATCAACCCTCCCCATCTCCCACACCTAGTCTAATGTAAGCACATAAACAACCCTATCTAACACGAGCCATTTCTTCATCATCACATCAGTAATGTTATCAAGTAGATAAAAGTTTGATGTATTGGCCTGAAGCACGATTCTTATCCATATTACTATTACATAATTTTAACTTTTGATACCAAAAAACCCAAATTCTGATGGATTGTAGGAAGCCTACTAGAAGATTTCTTTTGATAACAGAAGTAATGACATCAGACCAGAATCAACTCAAGAGTAAAGGACTGAGTCTCGGCCACATCCCAGTGCAGCACAAACACTAAACACCACGCAGTTATAATAAAATCTGTATGGCATTTGGAAGAAGGCTGCTGCTTTCCCTCTCTCATGTTATATGTCATTTCATTACAGCAATGACTCCTGAAAGTGCTCTGGCTTGCCTACACCAGCCAGTATTTTTACATGCAGACATGCCATCCAAGTTAGACAAGCAATCCTCAAAGCTCTAGAGTGAAATAGTATATGAAGGATACTGCACGTACAGAGCCAAAAGATTCATCTTGCCAATGTAATTTTAATCACTTGTCTGAAGACAGAATGAATTCAGCTGGCAAAAACATCTGTTTCAATCATAAATGACAAACCCCTTGTCACAGATGCAGCTATGAGGTGCAATTTTTCTATGCTGCTAACAAAGCTAAGTCCATCAAGCCTTTTAGCCAAACATTGGTACCATTTAATCTTAACAAAACAGCAAATGTAGAAGAAAAAACTTCAGAAAACAAACAAGAATGTGGAGACTGACCTAGCTCCTGAATCAGAGCTTTAACATCCCTTCTAAACCCATGAATTATGATAACTAGCTACTATTAGGTACAAATTCCAACTCTTTCTGGAACCTTGCTTGCAAATGCCATTTTCTTGGGCTTGCGTTTTTTTTATTTGAACTAAGCTCATGCCCCACTCAGGTCTTCTGCCTGTGTAATGATGCTGGTGAGAGACACAAGGAGGTATAAACTTTCACACAGCTGCACGAAGAAAAGACTCTTGGAAAGATACTTTTATATTGGTAAAACCAGGCTCCTACTTCTGAACGAGCAAGGCAAATAGTACATGTCTGACTAACAGAAAAAAAAAAGTCATACCAGGAGAATCACCATTTAGTTGGCCTAAGTTGCATTTGCATTATAGCGGCAAAGCTCTACTAAGCCAGGTACAACAGTGGCAAAGTTCTCCTAGCGTGCAAGGAGACTCCAGAGCCTCATCTTGCTGTGCTCTGCCACATCAGAAGCAATGCAGTAAAACTCCTGCACACATCACAACACCCAGGGGAGCTCCTCTGGCACACCATGCCAACCTCAAGGCGTAGTCAGAGAGGCTCAGCACAAGCTGTAGCTTTGGCACTTGCCTTGCAGATTTCCAGCTTGAGATCATAAAGTTCTTGATTAACTTCACAGGTAGCCATCATCTCTGTAACAGCTTTATAAATAAGACCATTCAAGACTCTGCAGCGTGTGTTATCTTCCTTCCTAGTTTTTGTCTGGTTATCTTTCATTATGGAGGCCAAATCGGTTGGTTTATACATCTTTAAAAAAAAAAACAAAACACAATACATTAATCAATAGTTACAAACTTGTATTAGGCAATTACGTACAGTTTTGTGCACTCTACTAAGTACGCTCTTAGAATGCCACTGCTGCAGCTGTAATGGCTTTATATAGGTCTTATGCATCAGGTGTTTCAATAAAGAATATTTCTGTTCACAAAATCTTTGACCTTCACATATTACAGTCAAAGTTTCTTTGTTTCTTTATTATTTTGTAGCAGGTAACAGAGCTCAATAAATCCATTTTCTATAATATAGCATGCATTAACTGAAAAGCATTGCTTGTTTGAAAAACAAACATAAAAACTTGTTTTCCATAAAAGTAAAACTAAGCTGTATTCAGAAGTTTTAATCTGGATCAGTTCTCTGCTATGGGCTCAATAGTGTTGGTGCTGGTGTGGATGAAAGATTAGCACAGAAGAGGAAATGGCCATTGGCTGCTGAATGGTTTCTTTCGACAGCAATCCTGGGATGTCAGTGTGAAACTGGAGCCCTAGTGTTCATTCACAAAATTCTGCTATTTCTCCACCAGAAAATGCTTTTCCCAAAGTTACAGACAATGGCAGAAGCACAAGCTTGCTCCTCCTGGCACAGATAAACACAGCACCTTAAAAGCTTGCACTTACCATTTTAGATCCCAGGGTAGGGCTGTCATACCAAAACTTCTTTCTTTTGGAAAAAGGAAAGGAAATCAGCGTTACCTTTCAGCAGCTCAGAGAAACAACAGGTTCCCTGTGTAATCAAACCGCCTGAAGGCACACGACAACCACCCAGGTTTTCATGCCCACAAGTAGTTTCCCCGCAGAGGTTACAGGCTAGGGTGCAGTATCGGGAGCAATGCTTCCCACTCACGGCTGAAGCTGCACGTAGCGGGGGGCGGGGAAACAACCCTAAGGTTATTTTAGAGATCGGGGTCACTTGGCACAATACCGAAGCACCGTTGTCAGAGCCCCACAGGCACCGGAGGTGCTGCTCGGAGGTGCGCGGCTCTCTCCCATGCTACCGGGAAGACGGGAGCACCCCAAGCCCCACAAGCCCTCTCACACAACTTCGCCCAGCGCCCACACACCACCCCGCCAGGGCCCGGCCGGGCGGATGGGC